AGCACTTCAATTAAACTGCCTAAATCAGAAAGCACGTCATCAACAGTAAATTACAATATTTTTGATAAAAAGCTGAACAACAGGTGTTTAGTTAACTGTAATTTACGAACAACAAAGGATATCCTAACTGTTAACAAATCAAAGCTTACAATTAAGATCATAAGAAACGATACCACATTCCAGTTGTTAAAATAAATATAGAAAATGTGCGAATTGATCCAGCCCCTTTCAATCACTACCTATAAAATAATTAATACACTCAACAGCGATCCTTTAGATTCATTTATTGATGGGCTTCTTATTTGTTTACACATTTTCAAAGTCACTCGTTTTATAATATTTCTAGTAGTCGAACTGCTTTGGTTTATCTGACAGAATAATCAAGCACAGAAGTTCCATTATTACTTTTCTAAAATATCACTTATCTGTATACACAGATGCTGACTAGCTGGTTGCTGCCCGTATGATAAAAGCGACCAGTGCTTGGAGACTAGAAATCATAGCTCAGAATCGTTCATAATGGTGTAGACTCATTTATTCTATTTTCCACTCGATTTTAAATCCCAGTATTTACTTCATACATACTCATGTACTGTCTTTTAAAACTGAATCCCAACGATCTAATCGTTCTCATGATCACTGCTACTACATCACTTTGATCTATTTTACAATTCATCCTGTACATTTCACCTCGCTATTTCTATATGGTGTGATAACTTGGGCTAGGCTCTAACATTGATGACGACTGACTGATAAATAGAATAACTTATTAAATCGATTGCCTTTTCAAGTCGAATGTGCCAAGTTCTAATTTGTATCAAGTTATTAAAAACATCAAGTTCAATTGATAATCTATTATTTGATAACAGCTTTACTTCAAGTCGAAATTGGAAATTGTAACGAAACTCAACGTATTAACACAATTATTGTCAAACTAATGACACACTATTATGGACCACCATAGACAACAATGTCAGAAACAGGATTTTCTATTTAGCATTTCAACCCACTGCTTAGTCAGTAACCAACTTTTAAAAAATGAATCAGGTTTGGGATAACTAATCATTATGTTTGCTTGTTTTTCGAGATATATTATGGCTTCAAACCTGTTTCTTCTTAAATGAATTCATGATGAACACATTCAAATAATCATGTCAGTGTAGATAAATCCGTGTAACGTACTTGATAGTCATACAACTTTTTCAGAAAACACAGATGATTTCGATAAAATCTATAAAGGAAATATCAAGTTAACAAGCTGACATTTTGTTAATGAATTTGTTCGATCGGAAAATATCTTTCATTTACTTCATAATTATAGTTTGATTTGGAACCAGTCAGTCTTAGTTACTATTGATGTTGAAATGATATAATTTACAAATACACTAATAATTTGTAAACAATCACAAATCACTTAACTATTAAGAAAGGATAAAACCTTCCCAGTAGTAACGATAACGCTAACCATGGATTAAAAGATTGCAAATTACTACCAGATAGCTTTACTCGCACAGGAAGGGATTGCAACATGAACTTGATAATTAGTAAGCGAATTCAAACAAACAAATGAGAACAGAATATAAAAACTAAGGTAATTCTGATAAACAAAATTATGTTCTGTATATATATATATATATATATATATATATATATATATATATATATATATATATATATATATATATATATATATATATATATATATATATATATACTTTTTAAATATACATACAAATATTTCGCATTTATTGTATATCTGAAGAGGGAATAGCGCCTAAAAACAACGTAAAGCATCAAGGCGCAAAATAAAAATCAGTAATAATTTGATTTCTGACTCACAGAATACTATTAACA